GTCGCTCCGCCCGCAGAGCGCTGGCGGCCGCCCCAGGGGGCGGCGGGCCTGCCGAGGGCCAGCGCCGGGGCGGCCGCCGGCAGGGTCGGGGCCGCGTCCGGGGGCCGGGCACTGCGCGGGGCCCGGGGCTGGGCTGGCCGGGGGGGGCGGGGGGCGGGGGCGGTCCCAGCGGGGGGCCCCTCTCCCTTGGGCCTGTGGCCAGGCAGGGCATGGGTCAGGAGGGGAAGAGCCACACAGAGACACAGTTGTTCGTCGACTCCCAGAAAAAATATGCGAAAGTATGGGAGGTGGGGGGGGAAGACAGAAACCCAGCAAATGTAGGAAAGTATGGGGAATCTTTTTATTTGTGTGTATTTATTTGTGTGTCCCAGGGCCCCTTCAATGGGGTTGTAAGGCAGGCTGGGCGGACGGGCTGGGGGGCGGACGCGCGGAGGCCGGGGAGGGCGACGGGGGCCGCAGAGGAGGCTGAAGGGGGGGGACTGGGCGTCCTCGCTGGGGGGATCGGGGGAGCGGGGGGGAGACCAGGGAAGGAGGGAGGGGGCGAGACCAACGGCCCCTCCTCTCCCCTCCTTGCCTGTGCCTGGCCAGAATTCCAGCGGCCTGCAGGCCCACCGTGGCCTAGCAGGCGGACCGCTTCCTTCCGGCCTGCCCCTTAGGTCCCCTACGGGGGTGCCCGTCCCTCCCCGAGGGAGCCTAGGGGGCCGTGACGGAGGGGGCGAGAGGGAAGGAGGGGGGAGGGGAGAGGAGAGAGTGGGGAGCCGTCGTGCAGAAGTGCCCGGCCTGGCCATGCCCGCCTCCTGGCCTGTGGTGTGCTCCCCTGGGCCCGTGGTGGGGGCCTGGCAGGTCTGGCGAAGACTGTGCTGTTGGCTTCCTTCCGGGTCAGGGGGAGGCTCCTGGAGCCGCTCGGCGCGTGCACCTCTTGCTTCAAGGGAGGGCGGCCGGACGCCTCCTTCCTTCCTTTCCGACGCCTCTCCTCCTCCCGCCTTCCCTCTCACCCTCCCCTCCTGCCCATTTGCCCATCAGCCTTTGCCCAGACACCTCCTGTCCATGACGATTCAGAACGTGTGCCCATCCACCAGAAAATCCCCTATCAAGGGAAGACATAGGCAAATGGTTGAAGTATCATCTCTGTCTTTGTCTTTGTCTGTGTCTCTCTCTCTCTCTCTCTTGTCTTTTTATATTTGTATGTAAATATACATGTGCATATAAATTTATACGTGCACACACACATATATATATATATATATATATTCATCGATGCATACACATACATATGTATACATGCATGAACATACACATATTTATATGTAAATGATTGTATGTATATATACGTGACTGTAGGTATACATGCATGTATATGTACATATGTATGTATGCACGTATGCATGTATACACATACGTGTCTATATATATACACATACGTGCTTGGATGTTGGATGACACACTTATCTGATCTTGGTCCACGCACTTCGCGGCCGCTCAGCTCTTGACATGAGTTGTCTTTCGTGACTCGGACTCGTGCTCGAGAGTTGACCTAACTTCATCGACCCACCCCTCATTCCACCTCGGGGGTCAGAGTCTCTTTTCACGGACCCGTGCGTCGAAAGCAATCAGGCGCTGCACGCCGCTGAGGTCTTCGCGGACAGTCAGGCGCGATCAGATCGGACTCGGAGGCGCACTCGGTCGAAATTATGCATGTATGTATGTATGTATGTATTTATGTATGTATGTATGCATGCGCATGCATGCATGCATGTATGTATGTATGTATGTATGTATGTATGTATGTATGTATGTATGTATGTATGTATGTATGTATGTATGTATGTATGTATGCAGGTATGCAGGTATGTATGTTTTTATATATGTATGCATGTAATGCAGATAGGTACGCATGCATGCATGCATGCATGCAGGTATCGACACACATCTATAGCGAGACAGAAAGAGAGAGAGAGTGAGATGGATAGATAAGCATATCGCACAATAATCAATTATCCGGGCGAAGGAGCCAACCATATGCAGTTGTGAGTAACGCGTTGTGGGTGCCGCTTTCGGTGGAACTCCCTATGGGCCACGAAACGCGTGAGGGACGTGCCGTCATGGGTGGGGGAGACGCATGCGGGCGTTGCCACCGGGGCCTTCGGTGGGGCTCCCTATGGGCCACGAAACGCTGTCCTGGGTGTGGCTGACGCATGCGGGCGGTGCCGCTCGCTGGAGCTCCCGATGAGGCCACGAACCGCTGTATTGGTTGGGGGAAACGCATGCGGGCGGTGCCGCTGGGGTCTTTCTGTGGAGCTCCCTAGGGGGCCACGAAACGCTGCACTGGGTGGTGGCCGACGCATGCGGGCGGTGCCACTGGGACCTTCGGTGGAGCTCCCTATGGGGCCACGGGAGGGGGGGACGCACGCGGGCGTTGCCGCTGGGGCCTTCGGTGGCCACCGGAGCTCCCTACGGGACCACGAAACGCTGTACCGGGTGGGGGGGACGCATGCGGACTGTCCAACTGGGGGCTTGGGTGGAGCTCCCAATTCATGGGGCCGCGAAATGCTGTACTGAGTGGTGGACGACTCATGCGGGCTGTGTCACTGGGGTCTTTCTCTGTGGAGCTCCCTATGGGGCCACGAAGCGCTGTCCTGGGTGTGGCGGACGCATGTGGCCACCCCGACTGGGGCCTTACGTGGAGCTCCCTTTGGGGCCACGGAACGCTGTACTGGGTCTGGCGGACGCGTGTGGCCACCCCCACTGGGGGCTTCGGTGGAGCTCCCTTTAGGGCCACGAAACGCTGTACTGGGTGTGGCGGACGCATGTGGCCACCCCCACTGGGGCCTTGGGTGGAGCTCCCTATGGGGCCACGAAGCGCTGTACTGGGTGTGGCGGACGCATGTGGCCACCTCCAATGGGGCCGCAGGTGGGGCTCCCTATGGGGCCACGAAGCGCTGTATTGGGTGTGGCGGACGCATGTGGCCACCCCCACTGGGGCCTTGCGTGGAGCTCCCTACGGGACCACGAAGCGCTGTATTGGGTGTGGCGGACGCGTGTTGCCACCCCCACTGGGGCCTTACGTGGAGCTCCCTAGGGGGCCACGACACGCTGTACTGGGTGTGGCGGACGCATGTGGCCACCCCCACTGGGGCCTTGGGTGGAACTCCCTATGGGGCCACGACACGCTGTACTGGGTGTGGCGGACGCATGTGGCCACTACCACTGGGGCCTTGTGTGGAGCTCCCTATGGGGCCGCGAAGCGCTGTAGTGGGTGTGGCGGACGCATGTGGCCACCCCCACTGTAGCCTTACGTGGAGCTCCCTGTGGGGCCACGAAGGCTGTACTGCGTGTGGCGGACGCGTGTGGCCACCCCCACTGGGGGCTTTGGGTGGAGTTCCCTATGGGGCCACGAAGCGTTGTATTGGGAGTGGCGGACGCATGTGGCCACCCACACTGGGGCCTTGGGTGGAGCTCCTTATGAGGCCACGAAGCGCCGTACTGGGTGTGGCGGACGCATATGGCCCCCCCCACCGGGGCCTTGGGTGGAGCTCCCTACGGGGCCACGAAACGCTGTACTGGGTGTGGCGGACGCATGTGGCCACCCCCACTGGGGCCTTGGGTGGAGCTCCCTATGGGGCCACGGAACGCTGTACAGGGCGTGGCGGACGCACGTGGCCACCCCCACTGGGGCCTTGCGTGGAGCTCCCTATGAGGCCACGACACGCTGTACTGGGTGTGGCGGACGCATGTGGCCACCCCCGCTGGGGCCGCAGGTGGAACGCCCTATGGGGCCACGAAGCGCTGTACCGGGTCTGGCGGACGCGTGTGGCCACCCCCACCGGGGCCTTGGGTGGAGCTCCCTATGGGGCCACGAAGCGCTGTACTGGGTGTGGCGGACGCACGTGGCCACCCCCACTGGGGCCTTGGGTGGAGCTTCCTTTGGGGCCACGAAAACGCTCTACTGTGTCGGTGAAACGCATGGAGGAGGGAGGGGGGGGGAGGGGGAGGAGGGAGGAGGGGGAGGAGAGGAGAGGAGAGGAGAGGAGAGGAAGGACGTGGGGACCGTCTCTTCAAGACGAGGACCCAACACCACAGGATGGTTGGGAAAAAGAGGGTCCAAACCGTAGTTCGCGTGGACTTTCTCGTGAGCGGATCTGGCGAGCTGGGCGGCTGCCGCTTCCAGCGCCGTCGCTTGCTTCACAGGGCGCATCTCGGCTGCGCTCGGGGGGATCCGCCGCGCGACCAAGTGGCACTGGCTGCGGCCACCGGGTGCGCGCCCTGGCTGCGCGCCGTGGCCTCCGTGGCGTGGGCGCCGTGCCCGGTGGACGTGGCTGGCTGTCGTGGGCGTCGTGGTATTTGCCTCGCTCCCGACTTCAGGCTCGCCACTTAGTTCCACAAGGGAAGTATTTTTCGTCATTGGCGCCTACATCTGGACTTAAGCCGGGCCTGTCCCTCTACAGGAGGAATATTCATTAGCCTGACGAAGGACCCAACCATATTCAGGTGTGAGTACCGCAATTGTGATTCACTTTTTCGGTGGTAATCCCTATGAGGCAACGAACCGTGCTATGGGTGTGCCGAAGTGAGTGGCGGGGTATACAACGCGAGCGAAAACGATTGATCTGAGTATGTAGGGAGACTGAGCGCGGGTGAATCTGAGCGCGAGTGCGTTTGATTGTGAATGAATCTGCGTGCGAGCGAGTCTACGTGCATGAATGCCAGTATGACAAAGCATGGTGTACTTGTTTATGAATGTCAATAGTTTGAGAATGATTGCCTCTGAGTGCTCGTGACGCTGGGCGTGGCCGCCGCAAGGAGCTTCCCCGGGACTCCCCGACGGCATCGCCCGCGCGCCGCAACGCCAATGTCGGCGCGCCCCCCCGCGAGGATCGCGCCCGCTTCCTCCCCCTCTTTTACTCCCTCTTTGTCCGCGCACTCAAAAGTCCAAGGCTGCGGGCGCAGCGAAGAGCGGAGTCCCCGCGACGCGCGCAGGTCGCCCTGGAGGGGTCCCAGCG